AAATAAATAAAATTTAAAAAAGAAAAAAGAAACTGAGTTAATAAAGAATGAGGAAAAAAAGAAATCTCTCCTGAGAACATGACCTACCAGCTAATTCATTTGCTAACTGAATTCACTCTTACACGAGAGTGACCCAAAACATATCAAACAGAGAATTTACAGTAGTCCCAGGATCAGTAAGGTCCCCAGGTATTCAAAAGAAGCAAACACAAATCCTTCTAGCAAAATTCTCCTTCAAGTTTTACAAAGCAGCATATGTTTCCAAACTACTTTTTGATTTTTCTTCTAACATATAGCCCAGTCATTCCAAGCAGTCATCTGGAATAAGGGAAAAATTTTCCCAGAGCGAAAACTCCTAAACCAAAGATACTGCAAAGGGAAGATACTGAAATTCAGCAGTAAGGAAAAAGGAACATTAAAGCCAGTCTGTAGTGGTTATACGTCTCTGGAAGCAGGAACATAGTATTACACAGTATTACATATTATTACATAGGCCTTGGATGGCTCTCCACTGATGAATAGCCATTCTTGGCTATCATGTCCTTGAAGCCATTTTCATGCAGACTCAAAAATGGCTAACTTCCTGCTTTATTTACCTTTTTTCTTCACAACTATCCCAAAAAGCCTGATTAGGTTAGCAAATGTCATAAAATACATAAACAAATTGCTATTTACTTAGGATTAATATGCAACTCAGTAATCATTACACATATAGATTAGTGTAATTTTTCACAGTCACTGACTTTTAAAGATAGACTTTCTAACCATCTAACATAAACTGCTAAATTTCAGAAATGAAATTCTTATAACAAAAAGGCTAAAGTGAGTTGCCTGATGTCATGATTAATTGTACTATTTTATAATTCAGCATCAACTATGCTTATATATACTCAATTGTCTATTTTTTGTTTCAATAGCATAGGTGGTTCCTCTTACATTGAATAACTTTAGAGGCATTATTAGTAACTAATGTAACCTTTTTTTTTTTTTTTTTTTTTGGCAGAACCAGGGATTGAACTCAGGGCCTTGCACTTGCCAGGCAAGTGCTTATTCTATTGAGCTATCTCCCTGGCCCCAATGTAACATTTTTTGATGATCTAAACCTAGTATTATTGTTTGTCCAGTGTTATGCAGAGGATGAGTTAGTAAGGAAAATCAGATTAGAAAATTTAGTTGAATATACCTGTTGCAACATCAATAATTCATTTATCCTTTGGCATGTGTTAATTTAATACTCAATAAATGAGATACAATTGTAAATTAAAGGAATTTGGAGAAGTACTTTTCATTTTAATATTTTAATGATAAACTGTAGGGAATTTTAATTTTACTTGACAGTGCTCAGTAAATCGAAAACAATAGTATGGTCTTTTTAATTTTGACTTTTTATAATAGGAAACATCAAGTAGACACAAAAGTAAATAGACAAGTTCAGTGAACCCTTACTTACACTCCACCCCTCTTTAGCAGTTACTGACACATGAACAATTTTACCTTTAATTCCATACTCATTAGGGGCCAGGGAGATGGCTCA